GTCTCAAAGACAATCGTCCAGACATCATTCGAAAGCTGTGCCAACATCAAATGATGCATCTGGACGTTCGTCCTTCCTGGAACAGTCGTCGACAGCTGAACAACGCACCTCTCGTCGCCACGCCCCCCCTCCCAGTATCGAAATTCCACCCCAAACTTTCTTCCAGGAAAACCATGTCGCTGATTCGAACGTGCTGGATGTTGCTTCTCCGCCCCGAGTGCCGATGACCTCCCCCCCTGAGAGAAACACTTTCGGACAAGACGTACACCACCATAGAACAAACGACGGCGGCTTTGCGCATGGCAACCACCGACACAGAATGCAGCCTTTGGCCACAGCATTGCCTTCGATGGATGCTGCTGATGGCTTCGGTCTGCGGCCCGTGCGTGATAATGAGCGGCTACCGAGCATGCTTCCTGGCTTCCACACCGGACTCACTTCTCAGCCAGAGTCTCCAACTACCCCCAATGCTCCGGTACAGCCTCGAAGCAGCGCCCAGGCTACAATTGCGAGGCAACGTCCGTCGTTGAGACAGCAGCAGTCGGCATCGGGCGAATCCGATGATGGAAACGGAGACGGTTCTACGATGGATGAGGATCCTGCTTCCACAGAGGCAGTTGAGCCTATCGTTGGACTGCAGAACAGAATGGACATCGATGACGTTGGCGAGAGAGACGCGATACTAGGCGGCGTTTCCGATTCTCACGATCTCACAGTAACAGATCCTTCCGAAGAGCAGGAAGCCGAGACCTTCAACATTACACACCGTTCCGCAGTGGATGGCAGCATGATCAATACCGACAACGCCCAAAATAACGCCGCTCTGGGATTATCCCCTACCCAGGCAGCTGATAACGCCAACTCCCCCGCTCTTGTTCCAAGCCCTTACTCTCTGTACTTTCGCGATCGAACAACCACGGCCGCTCATGGTGTTTTGACAACTATGCCTAGGGACGAGGACGTTCTCATGTCCCTCCAACTTTTGGCTTATGTCTCCAAGTACTGCAACCTCCGGTCCTACTTCCAGCATTCTCATTTCGTCCCGAAACTCAAGATTGATCGCGAGCTTCAAATGCTAGAGGAAGGAACATCGCCAATTGACCTTCCTGAAGAAGAGGACGAGTATCTGCTTCCTGATGATGTCAACATCTTCCCTTTGGTTGAGAAATTCACCGTCCGTCACCACTCAAAAGATATGCAATACTGGGCTTGCGTGGTCATGCGGAACCTTTGCCGCAAGGACGAATCCAGAGGAGGTATCAGGCAATGTGCATACTACAAGTGCGGAAAGTGGGAGGAGTTTCAGCGTCAATTCGCAAAGTGCCGCCGTTGCCGCCGTACCAAATATTGCAGCAAAGATTGTCAAAAAGCAGCGTGGGTTTATCATCGTCATTGGTGCCACACCACGCCCTGATATGAATGGATGGAATTACCACTACCCAATAATGCATTCTGGCCTGCATAGCGTCATATTTGTCACCCATTTCCAGTGTCTTCCCCACCCTTTTGGCGAGGTTCTATTTACCCATGCATGGCATTTCAGAACTTGGCGGCGTTACCTCTCATCATAAAGATACCTTTTGTATGTCGTCTATGCCTTTTTCGCAACGGTTTACCCTCTATCATTTGGTCTACGCATTTTCTATCTTGTCTCTTTGACTTTGGGCCTGATGCCCTACATGGAATACCTCTAGCGCTCATGATTCTGCATATTTGTCCTAGTCAACTCTTTGGTTTTGTTTCCATTGTCTTCTTCTTACAATTTGGTGACGCTGAATACTAAATTTTATCACGATTTTCCTTTGTCTTAGTTGAACGCCAATAAACTTGGTGCGATCTTCCGAACTGAACTTCCCATATTGCCCCCTCTCTTTGTATCAGCTCAAACAACAAGTGCCATATGGGGTGGATGTCCGTGCATCTCACCCTGTTGATTTCTTTCCTAACTTGACCACGTACTATCTATTTCCTACACTCTTCAAAACCGACACGAAGCGGTTGTACTGAAGCGGTTCTAGGGTAAATCAAGATTAGACCGGATGAGATTTAGATCAACAAGTTCCACGCAGAGCCACCTCTCCGTATTGACAGCGTCACTCCTTCTTGAATCCGTAAGTGGCCGCCAGTCTCGATTCGAGATGTTCGTAAGCCGTCAAAGCCCGCTTCCCCGGCGCCATGTTCCCTGCCCCGCCACCGAAGCCAACCTGTTCATTGGTAATGCCGTTCTTCCTGCAATACTCGCGATGAGCGACGACAGCTTCACTGGGTACGGGAACCAACTCCGTGGTGTCTACCGGATGACAGAAGTAAGCGATACTATACCTGCCCTGTGGGTTAGGGCTACGCTGTTCAGACAAGGGGAACACTACACGGTGGATCGTCGACTTGAGTAGACCGTCGGTCCAGTAGCTCAGCAGATCACCAATGTTTACCAGAATAGGCGGGAACGGGTAGGCACTGGCATCCTCTGCGTTGCCCGGCTGCACGGGGACAGGAGCCCAGGAGCCATCTGGCGTCCGGATCTCAAGACCTGGCTGTCCGGGCCGTTGGAAGAGAAGGGTGATACTGCCGTAGTCGGAGTGGGCACCAGCGCGCACGTCGATGTCGTGCTGGTAGGAAGATGTTGCGGGCGAGGAGATCGAGGGGTAGTACAGGTAGCGGAGGATGCAGCCTGTGGGACCGTTCTGGGGGTCATGGCGGGATGTAAAGAAGTCGTTCGGGATCTGTGTAATTGCGATTAGCGAAAAGCTTGTAATGACTGGTTCATATTTCGAACCTGGAGGCCGAGGGCTAGTAGCTTCAAGATGCGATTGCAGGTCTTGTTGCAGAGCGAGGCGAAATGGCCAATCTCGGCCTCGTGCGGGGAGAGCGATGGGGGGAGGGGTTGCTGCGCTTTCCCATCCTTGAATTCGCCAAAGTTCATGGCCCTGTAGTTTCTGGTGAGAACAAGTCGAAGAAGTATTGTGATCCGGGACTAGGGGCGTACTCTTTAAAATCCCCAGTCTATAGCATGCGCCATGAGGCGCACTCCAGTCAGCGTTCTGAGAGGTGTACAAGGTCGTAGGGAGTGGTTTACCCTTTGATGCTCTGGATCAAGAGTTTCAATATGCATGCCTGACCAGCCACGATTCTGCACGCGACCAGCATCAGCGTCAATTTAATGGTCGATATAACGTTGAGAATCGGGTAGGACAGACATTAGGAGTAATACGGCAAGTGGCCTTCTCCTCAGCAGGAGAGGCAAAGAAAGCTTTCGACTACAGGCTCTGTCAACCCATGAGTTTGATGGACGGTGGATCGGGGGCAATCTACCAGCTCAAAGGCTCTATTCACATCCTCCGCCGCGAAATCGGTCCCTTTGCTGTCAACGTACAGAAAGCCGTACTTGGCGGCTGCGTCGAGCATGGCCTTACCCACACTGGGGTCGTCGGGGTTGGAGATGTCGATGATGGGGAGTTCAATAGGCGGTCCCACCGCGGAAGTCCGTTCCATTTTGATCTAGCTGGAGATGGACGTATAATGTCGCAGGCGGACAGGTGGTGAAAATAATTGCAAATGATGTCAGAACTATGGACTGGAAAACCCACGGGGAACAGTGAACTATATATATAGTGAAATAGCCGGGAGATATGTCTAGATACCGGATCTAAGGCTACATCGCCGGCCGAGCTTATGCGATTGCCTTAATCTTGATCCTATCGGTCTTATCTCGCCTGTGGACCAGGGCAAAGCGATGGTGCCAGCCTGCTATTGTTGGATATAATCACTTTTGGGATACGGTTGGTTGGTCTCTTAAGAGTAGGACTATGGAGTACAGAATGAGATAGTAAGTAGTACGTGAGCGAGCAATGACTATTCTGTCGTGATACCACTACTGCCTTATGCCAAGGCATATCTCCATCGTGTTCGCCAGGATGGTCTGAGTGGCTTCAACTTCTACCAACGAGAGATATCTCTGTTTTAGCCGAGTTTTGAAGCCAAAGCTCAAGCAGAGCTTTGATTGACTGTTTCGGTTGGTGAATTCATAACCCAAGCGGACTCTTTTTAATGGCACTTCATTCTCGGAGATTAGCACGATGAGTCAATGACACATACCGAGATCGTCTCCACAGGCAGTTGCTGCTGCTGCTTACATTCAAGGCGCCATAAGCATTGATCATATCCGATGCCGAATCTCGAGATCTCTGCTGGTCAACAGACCACTGCCGTTGAAAAGCTGCTTGGTGGACTTCGAGTCTTGTCATGTTTGCAGCTCGACCTCTGAGAAGATCGCATGGTGTACTTCACCCGTTCCTGCCAGGGCACTGTTTATGAAAAGTTATCGCGTGCTCATCAGCTTCTTCTCAAGCGATCAGATGCAGGGCGAATATCTCACTGTCATTGCTAACTGCGACCTTGGACACGGGGATCGTCTAGTGGTCCTTGGTAATCGCATGGAAGTAAATCACATGTTATCAAAGGAATATTCAGGAGATAGGTTTCACTTCATTTCCAGGGTTTAAGAACGATTGAGGTCTGGACGTAGGGTGTTGATACCTGTCATGTCAGTGTACCTGCATGCTGGTCAAGCTATCTATATGTATATTTGACATGGATGACTGAAATAGGATGCCTTTGTCACCTAGACGACCTGACGCGTATGGTATGGACGCACTAGATATAGCATCTATATATCAAGACAATCGCAACCTCGAATGTGTCTGAAGTACTTGACATAGGTTGTGGGGTAATTGAGTGTACTCCGTTAATAGAGTGCATGTCGGAAACATTGATCTCCGCCCCGTGATTTCATTCAATATTGCTCCACCCAAATTGTCGCAAAGGCACGCGGAGCTTGAGCGACACCTCGCTTCTTGGGCAATTCGTCTCTTCCATACTCTCTCTTCTCCCTCACTCGCTCGTTTCTTAGTCTTTCCCCCCTCCTGCCCTGTTCGGGCTCTCCACGCCTGGCATTGGGTCATTCATCTCTCTTCCGAGACAACAGCTCCAGCTTCTAAGCCATGCCAAGTAAGACGACTCCTACAGACCCCTCCGAGCTCATACGTGGGCGAACTAGTTTCATGAAGCTGACTGACCTCACTTCTCTCACTATTAGTCCGGCCACTTGATGAATGGGCGTCTGCCCGCACCCAGTCCCTTCCTCTCTCCGCTCTCAAAGGGGCTGTTGTTGGCATCGATGCGTCGCACTACATTTCCCAGCACCTTCTCCACCACTCGACCCGCGAGCCTTTACTGGTCGCTCTGGGCGGCTTCCCATTTGCGCTGAAGACCAATATTGAGAGAGAGTTACAGAGTTTCAAGGAATTGGGTGTGGCATGTCTTTTCGTCTTCAACGGCCTAGAGTTTGGGAAAAAGGACCAGCGACCACACGTGCAGACAGAGTCATTGCGAGCTTTTGAACAAGCCTGGGAGCTTTATGACCAACAACAGGCGGATCAGGTAGTCGACGCATTTAGTGGCGCGGGTAAGTCTCCCTTTCTGCATCCTCGTTATCCCTGTATACTGGTTTGCGCTGAACACGCTCCGCCCACTCCAGGCACACCGCGACCTGAATCCCTTTACAGATTTTTGCAGCGCATCCTGTACCAAAATGGGGTTGACTTTATCGTGGCGCCGTATAGTGCCGCGGCTCAGGTAAGAAAGCGACCATCGGGGAGATAGACTCGCAGCGGCTCAGTTTCTTACTTCTCATCTCTGATAGCTTTCCTATCTTGCCAAGGGCTCCAATCCCGTCATTGATGCGGTCTTTGGGCCTTCTGACGCACTCCTCTTCGACATTGACAAACTCATAACACGGATGGATATTGAGTCTTCTCAGTTTTTCTGGATTACCAAACAAACTTGCCAAGATGAAATGGGTAGGCTATCAAATGAGCAGTTCCTGGATTTCTGCCTTTTATTGGGCTCATCGTTCCTGCGAACTTTCCCGGGCTTCGAAAACCCAACATTTCCGGGAAAGAGCGTCAGCATTCGTGATGCTCTTCCGATATTCAACCAAGCGGGTCGAAATGCACTAGCTCTATATGCTCAGTTCGAAGAGGATCGTCGCGTGCAGGAACTTCAATATGCCGATGCTTACAAGCGCGCGTTCATGACGGTGAAGCACCATGTGATCATGGACGTCGATGGCAAGGTTGCACCTATGGATTCGGAGAACGCCCCGTCCGATATGCATGAACTGATCGGCCAGCGACTGCCTGAAGAACTTTACTTTTACCTCTCCAAGGGCGTCCTAGGTCCGGAAATTCCTAACTATCTGACATCTGGCGAGGTCCAAATCTCCCTTCCATTGGGAGTTGAAGATACCGAAATATATCGCCAAACTGTGAGCAGCACGCTCACTCCAATCAAGACTCAATCTATCTGTTTACTCTCGAATTCCCTTCACAGGTTCTACCAGACCAAAGTGATCAATATACGGACATGGTTTGACGAAAAGTCTGACAAGTCCATCACACTGAAGACTCTTCCTTCTGTCAAGGAAACCATCCAGGCGTGGAAGATCCGCTCTGACCAGCTGCCCGAGGGAGTAAAGAAGCTACAGGTCGGTTCACCATGTTACCTGCATGCCAAATTTGTATTCTCTGACAAGTGACAGAGCACCTCCTCGCCGCTCAAGTTTGCTGTACAGAGCCTGCAAGATCCCGAATTCGGAGCCAAGTCTTTTGCATCGTCTAAGGATGCTCAAGTGAGTCTGTCCAGGGATATTTCTCTGATATAAATGGTTCTAATGATTAAAAGCCGCTATCGTCGCAGGACGAAATTCTTGCCAATGTCTACTGGAGGTTCCTGCAATTGCGAGGCTACATTGATGAGAAGCACCGACTCACCTCATGGGGTGTCTGCCTCGACCAAGCGCTTTCCGTCCTTGATCCCGCTGATAATTTGGAAGAGGCGACGTTCCTCGCCGTTGAAATGGTCCGTTTTGGCCTCCTGAATTCCAAAGAGTGGTTTTCTCATGTCTCAGGAGGTCCGATGAGAGGTTCAGGTGAGTCGATCGTGCCTGATTGATGCCTCAATGCATACCTTACTGATCTCGCCTCTCCCACTAGATGAGGACAAGAAGTTCAATATTCTGATCTCACGTGTGGCTTGTATCGCTAAGATACAACACAAGAACATCGGCTATTCAGGGCCCCTCAGCAGGCAATTGCTCTGTTACCGCTCTCTTATTTCTGAGGTCCGCTCCACATTAAGAAACCTGATCGAAGTCGTTTTAGCTAGTCTGCTTCTTAGCGGAGATGCTAGCAGAGATCGGAATGACTGGACCGAGATGAGTATCAAGTAAGGCTTATATTATGCTTCACAAAGATCGATGGCGCTGACCTTCATAGACTCCCGTTCATCGACGACAATGACTGCGGTCTCGGCATTGCAGTGCGCACATATCTCGATGATCTGCCCCTGCAGGCGGACCCAACGTCGCCGGAGGCACGGTTAGAGGTGAAGTCCAAGGGTAAAGAATGGTTTCAGCACAGTGACAGCTTTACAAGCAATCTGGAAAAGGCTTTCAAGCTCTGGGATGCGGTGAGTGCCAAAGAATCGAACCCATTTTGATCACGCGAGCTGATGTTTTTCTTCTATCAGGTCTACAAGGGCACGCAGAACGCGAGTAAAGAATTTAAGGACGTTCAGTTGTGGCAGGAGGCAAATGAATGGTTGTCGGGGAGGCGATAGATATTAAGTTGTACCCAGGTGATAAGGCTAAGGGGCAGTCGTGGGAACTGCAATCTCACGAATGAAATCGGAGTCTACGAACATCAACAGCGTTATCACTTGTCAGCGATGGTGATTGACCGAGAGACTCATCCGGTAATGGTAGAAATCGAAAGGGACTGTAACACTAAACACCTTACTGGCCACCTGCCATCTCTACATTAGGTGACATACTCATAGCACGTTGTTACAGTAGACCTCCGCAACACATCGTGATTGACAAAGTCAATTGCGCGGTTGTACGGAGTGGTTTGTAATCTCTTATGAGTATAGATTGATACCAAGTGTCCTCTTCCGACCCGCTGATAAATCGGATGTGATCTGCGGTGATAGCGGAGCTTCTGGTGTGGGATCCATACGTTGGGAGGCAAATTACACCACCTTCAACTATTTGAGCTGATCTGGGTGAAGGCATTAATCACAGCTCTTCTACCATTGAGACAGTTCGTACATAATATTTGTCCAATATATTGCGTTTTTGATTGAGGATAATTCAGCTCCCGCTTCTTCTATCACACAAGCCACCATGGCTCGGTTGAGCTTCCTGCTTGTGAGCTGCCTCACACTGCTCGTCGGTATCGCCAGCGCCACTTCCGCCGTCATTGATCTGCTTCCCAAGAACTTCGACGATGTCGTCCTCAAGTCCGGAAAGCCTGCTCTCGTTGAGTTCTTCGCCCCTTGGTGTGGCCACTGCAAGAACCTCGCACCCGTTTATGAAGAGCTTGCTCAGGCTTTCGAATTCGCCAAGGACAAGGTGACTGTGGCCAAGGTGGACGCAGACGAACACAGAGATCTTGGAAAGAGATTTGGTGTCCAGGGATTTCCCACACTGAAGTGGTTCGATGGCAAGAGCGACAAGCCCGAGGACTACAAGGGTGGTCGGGATCTGGAGAGCCTGTCTGCGTTCATTGCGGAGAAGACGGGCATCAAGCCTCGTGGGGCCAAGAAGGAGCCTAGCAAGGTTGAGATGTTGACTGAGTCTTCGTGGAAGTCTACCATTGGCGGTGACAAGAATGTGTTGGTTGCTTTCACTGCGCCTTGGTGCGGACGTGAGTTCTTCTTTTGATATTTCCTCTTTTTCTGGCTTCGTCGGACTGAGCTAATGGCCCTCGGCGTTTACAGATTGCAAGAGCCTCGCCCCTACTTGGGAGACCCTCGCCAATGACTTCGCACTCGAGCCCAACGTTGTGATCGCCAAGGTCGACGCCGAGGCAGAGAACTCCAAGGCTCTCGCCAAAGAACAAGGCGTCACCGGATACCCCACCATCAAGTTTTTCCCCAAGGGCTCAACTGAGCCCATCGTATACAACGGCGCTCGTTCCGAGGAGGCCTTCATCGAGTTCCTGAACGCCAACGCCGGTACTAACCGTGCCGTTGGTGGAGGTCTCAACGAGAAGGCCGGCACAGTCGCCGCTTTTGACGAGTTTATCACCAATTACGTCTCGTCGCGCAACGTCAAGGAGCTTGTTGCGGAGGTTAAGAAGGCTGCCAAGGGTCTCCAGGACAAGTATGCTCAGTACTATGTTAAGGTTGCTGAGAAGATCAGCCAGAACGAGGAGTACGCCAGCAAGGAGCTGGCTCGTCTCAAGAAGATCCTTGAGAAGGGTGGCTCAGCCCCCGAGAAGATCGACGATATTGTTTCTCGCAGCAACATCCTGCGCAAGTTTGTCGGCGAGAAAGACACTGATGCCAAGGACGAGCTGTAAATCATTTCACTGGCTCAAGTGTGTAAGATCGCACGGATTTGGAGATCATTGACGGACTTGTTCAATTATATGACTTTTGGCCTATGAAATATGTGTCTGGAACTCCATGATGCATAAAATGTAGCAACAAGGGCTTGACCCAAGGAGCAACAGTTCAAGAAATATATAACAAGAGGCATCTATCCCTCAGAATCTCGTCAGGGTATCTCTCAATACGTGAGACATGAATACAACAAAGTATACTTGCACATATGCCACGCCTTCAAATGAATGCATCGCTGAAGAAGAACTTAACCTATAAACTCCATTCCGCACAGAAACAGACCATCAATGCAATAACATGCTATGGAACGAAGGGCCACAATTTATATGCCTGCACGAAAGTCATTTCGTCGGAGACGACGCTGTTGCGGCGGCCGTGTCGCCCGCAATAGTCAAGGAAGCTTCCAGCTCGTCGAGGCGCGTAGCCATATCGTCCACTAAAAAAGTTCAAGTCAGTATCATGTATACGCTAGCCTAGTGATGGGTTCCATGTACGAGGCAAACGAACATTTTGCGAACACTTCCCGCGACACATTGTCGAACTTGTGTTGTAATTGGTCCAGGAGGTCGTCGACCGCTGCTGAGAATTGACCTTGTGCATCGGTGCTCTACAGTGCTTGTAAGCGACATGTTTCTCATTGAGAATGTGACAGATTAACAAACCTGTTGCGATCGCAGAGATTCCCCGGTGGGAGGGGTGACGGCCTCAGACGTCGAGATGGATTTGCTATCTTCTGCCATGGTGTATTGATAGTGGCGTGCCGGCAGGATACGAAAAGGTCGGGCTTGAGGCGCCAGTAAATTACTGTCCGAATTTGGAGATAAATGCTATGTAGCACCGAAGGACAACCGCAAAGTTGATGTTCATCCTCCTGTATACTACTCCGCTGCTGATATCCAGATTAAAACGATAAGATGCCCAAGGATCAACTGTTTCTCCTGATCACCGATATGCTCTAAGCTAAAGCTGGACTAGACCCGGCTTATCTTGAATGCTAACCATATATGGACTAGCGGCATCCCAAAAAAATTCCCATAGTTTCCTGATCTGAAAGTCCGCCGCGGGTGCTCGACAGTAATTGCAAGCTTGCAGTCGAACATTCCTTTAAGCCTTTATCGTGATTTTCGCTTTCATAGAGAAAATGCCTAAACGCAGCAAGTTGCTCCAGGCTCTGGATGCTCACAAGGGCCGAGACTATGATGCAGAGAAGCAGAAGAAATTAGTCAAGGCCGCAGAGAAGAGAAAAGCGACAAAGACGACGAAATCAGGAGATGATGAGAATAAGGAAGAGGAGACTGTTGAAACAAATGGCAAGGTATGTTGGAGTCGCCACAGGAGCGTTGTAATCAAATTTGCTAAATCAATTGCTCGCGTGCGCACAGGCTGAGTCGGAGAATTTGAAATCCAAGAAGCGCAACGCTCCTGAAGATGAAGAAGACGACGGATCAAGCGACAATGAGGATGAAGAGTCGGATAAAGAGGCTACTGGAGAAGCGGAAGACAACGAGGAAGACGAAGATGACGAGGAGGAGGGAGAAGAAGAAGAAGAAGAAGAAGACATTCCTCTATCCGACTTGTCCGAAGATGAAAGAGAGGATGTGGTTCCTCACCAGCGCCTCACGATCAACAACTCTGCTGCTATCAACGCATCTATTAAACGCATTTCGTTCATCACCACCCAGACACCGTTTTCAGAGCACAATTCCCTAGTCTCGAAAGAGCCGATCGAAGTCCCCGACCCCAACGACGACCTGAACCGAGAGTTGGCTTTCTACAAGGTTTGCCAGGCTGCCGCTTCAGAGGCACGTAGCCTGTTGAAGAAGGAGGGTGTTCCGTTCACTCGGCCTGGCGACTATTTTGCGGAGATGGTCAAGACCGACGAGCACATGAGCAAGATTAAGAAGAAGCTTTACGACGAAGCTGCTGCGAAGAAGGCTGCCGCGGAAGCCCGCAAGCAGCGGGATCTGAAGAAGTTTGGAAAGCAGGTGCAAGTTGCCAAGTTGCAACAGAGACAGAAGGAGAAGCGCGAGACACTCGAGAAGATCAATGAGCTGAAGAAGAGTATGTTACCCGTTCTTTTCACACAGGTTACTGAACAATTACTGACATGTTCTCTCATCAACTAGAGCGCAAGACTGATAAATCTGGCATTACGGACAATGACAACGATCTATTTGATATCGCCATCGAGGACTCTGGCAAATCCGACAGCCGCAAGCGTAGTCGCGGCAATGAGAGCGGCGGACCCTCACTGAAGCGCCAGAAGAAGAATGAAAAATACGGCTTCGGTGGTAAGAAACGGCACGCCAAGAGTGGTGACGCTATTTCTAGCGGAGACCTGCGTAACTTCTCGGTCAAGAAGATGAAGGGTGGCTCTAAGAGACCTGGGAAAAGTAAGAGAGCGGCGGCAAAGGGCAGGTCCTAAGGTAATGACCAGCTACTTTTGATTGTTCCACTTTTTCATTGTCTATTTGTCTTCGGCTGGGAACTCAAAAGCAGAGACTATTGTTTAGCGTTCAAAAAATTGTGTCTTCACTTGTCCTGTTAGATAGCTGTCCAGACAGAACTTGGACTTCCTGACCATCGGATGCCAAGTCCTCCATGTATGTATATTGATCCATCTCAGGCATGCCCTTCTTAAGGGAATAATCTTCTCGCTGCGTCTTATATTGTGATTTTGTATGGGATATATACCCTGCTTCCCCATGGATGCTAATTATTTCCACTTAGTATCGTTCGAAGAGCTCATGTCTATCAAAATATTCTTTGGTATCATTATCAATCAATCCACAACGCCGCGCTCATCTTCCGACACCCGAAATGCGTAGTTGCCTCCTTGTCAGACCTGCTATATCTTCGATGATGTATTAATCGCGCATGCGTCGTGTCCTTCATTAGAATGGATCTGTATTCAGTCCTTTTGTATGCAGACTCGTGGGCCTAATCATCGATGGGGTGATCGACCTACCAAGTCCAGTCAGCACCAGACTGTCGAAATGTAAGCGAATGATACTCACCCAGTAATAGTCGAACGGTTGCGTACTGCTCGAGCTCTCATTGCTGTCTGTTGGTGCCAACAGCAGTCTGGAGTCTAAAAAGTAGCATGTTTTAAGCATTTCACAACGGATCTTCTAGTCGATGATATGCAGCAGTTCTCTCACGACTCCGTTTGACCGTTGGCTCCGTTCTCTATGAGCGAAAGCCCAGCGTCAAGGTTTCCCATCTCCCGAATCCGTTCGAGAAGATTATCAACGCGTATATTAATATTCAACCTTTGTTCCGCAAAAACAAGGTCAAGTTTGGCCTTGGTGTCGTCTGCATGCGCTAAGGAATGATCTTGGATCAATTCTTTGCCTCTCTTCGTGTTACTCTTGTTGATCACCTTTCCACATCCTCGTACCTGGCAAGTCCATGTATCGGATGGCACATCGTCGGCATGAGTAATGTCTAAGCCAGCTGAGTCCTGGACCTGATCTGCGGCGGAAACGGAAGTATTTCGGCTTTGGAGAGTTTCCTGCAGAGGTGTTTTGTGTTGAGGCGTGGAGGCCGTGTCTGATAGAATGGAGCGAGTTCTTCGTTTTGCTCTTGTTGATAGCGGGTCCCGTATCAGATCATGACCACGGACTTTACTGGGGGTCTCAAATTCATCCATCCCGTCCTGATCTCCTTCTGACATATCTTCTGGGTCGATCGCAGTACTCCGCGTACGCTTGCCAATTTGCTTAGTGGAGAATGCGCTCGACTTCGGGCGAAGCACAGATTTGCGAACTAATCGTCTTCGTGGTCTGCGATTGTCTTCGTGTTCACTCTCTTCATCAGAGGACTCTTCTTCTCCAGAAGTCCGGGGACGCAACGGAGTAAGAGCGACCTGCTGAAGTTCATTCCTCTTTGACGCGGCCTTCAGCTCACGGTAGATAACCTTCCGTGACCAGTCAAAGTTCGGCGTCTTAGCTTCGTCCATCAGGCCCAGGATGATGTTGGCCCTCGATGAGATGAGATCTTGTGCATACTCGGGACTATCTATCTCGAACCGGCTCAAGAGGGTGGAGGCAAGTAAATCAAAATTGAGCTGACGTTTCGCCAAGTGTCCTGCCTCTTTCAACTCAAGAATCACCTGGTAAATTGCGTCTGCCTGCGTCTTTGAAATCACATTCGGATCAGGCACATGCGTTGACTCCTCCGAGACCTCATCAATGTCCTCGTCCTTGTCCTCGTCCATAGCTTCTCCATCTTGTTTTGACTCGTGCGAAGACCTAATCTCTTCAAAGTCCTCCTAATTTGTGATCATCAGCAAAGGAAATCATGATGATAGTACTGAGGAATCTGCTCACAGGAAACTTCTCGCACAAATGCTCGAAAAGGTGCGTTTTGGTCCATTCCACTTCCTCTTCACCCTTCAGCATCCGGGAGAGGAGGAAGTTGTGATGTTTGTAAAAGACTTCGGCGGAATCATCAGCGTCCTCGCAAATCCCATGTGTGTGGTTGACATACTAAAAGCACCGTGTAAGTGACTGACACCTATAGTCCATCAGAGCATGTAATCTGTACTCACCTCCTCACACAGGTACTTAACGCTTGGATTCCAATTCTTCCGTCTTCGTCCTTTCGGCTGGTGTCTGTCCGCTAAAAAATATAACAGATCAATGGCTTCGACCACATCATTGAACATTGGTCGGTAACCCCTCGCTGGCGATATGGAAAACCAGCCAGCACGGCCAGCAATCCAAACCCCAACCTCACCGTCGCTATGTTGGCCGTAGGCATAATGGGTCACATTGTCGATCACAATCCGTTTTGTAATATAATCAGGATCGAGAACTATCCGAAGAGATAAGATTCAAGTCAGCTTCTGTCTGAGGTAGACGAAGATTGTGGTACTTGTGAGAGGTACTATGTATAACAATTAAGGTTGTAACTCCAGTAATACGTACCTAGAGACTCTTGCTCCTCTTCCACCTCGTCCAAACAGCCCGTTACCTGAACAGGGTTGCTGGGAGATGCTGTAAGCAGATTGGCATATCGGGATTTGCCTGGCACCAGGACCCTGACTTCAGACAGACTGAACTCCTCCCAGTCGTTCTCGTCCGTAAGAGATGGGTCCCTGGCGGCCAGGACACTATCTTCTCGCGATGTCATGTCTCGGGGAGCAGCATGGTGTCTTGACTGATATGGAAAGGAATTAACAAAAGCTCCTTTAAAAGGCGAACGGAAATATTGAAGGACCAAGAAAGAAATCGAGTGAGGATGGTCAGAATGAAGTTCGATAGAGTCACTCGAGGCACCTTCCTTTGTCTGGCACAACCCACCCACCCCCGACAGATGGTAATTACCTGTAGTTTACGAAATTTGGGGTCATGGAACCTTGTAATTCTCCGGTATGCACGAAATAATTGTACCGTACCGTTTTGCTGAGCTATCTTCTTTATCGCACCGGGCAATGTTCTCTCTTTTTTGAAGAGTTGTTATCTGAGAAATGCATTTAAACTGCCAGCTAGCTCCATTGCATATTGATTGATCGCTACCATTTATTAAGGTAGGACATTCGTTGATCAAGCTTATTTGCCTGCCATCAGTCTTCCCAAACCATATTTAATTCCACCTCCCCCGCGACTGATGGGATTCCGTCCCGGCTTCAGATTATTTCGTACCACAATGTCTGGGGAAAAAATCTACGAAGGCGTCTTCGGTATGTGTTCTCATGCGCACCGGAGCACGGCAAGAAAGAGAGCTAATGTGCAACAGCCGTCCACAAGCCTCAAGGCGTCACCTCGGCCGATGTCATCCGAACCCTTCAGCACCATTTCAACCCCTCCAAACTCTTTAAGCCCTGGCTCGAAGAGGAGCGCGCGCGACGTAACAGAGAGAGTAGCTACCAGCGCAACAGGCGCCGCTCGAGGCGCCTGGACGTCAAGATCGGACATGGAGGTACCCTCGACCCATTGGCGACCGGCGTTCTAGTCACGGGTGTGGGCAAGGGTACGAAAAGCCTCAACGACTTCCTAGGCTGCACAAAGACATATGAAACGGTTGTGCTTTTCGGAGCTGAGACAGACACCTACGACAAGCTGGGGAAGATCGTCCGACGGGCCCCGTACGAGCATATCACTCGGGAGGCGGTTGAGAAGGCGCTCGAGCAGTTCAGAGGGAAGATCATGCAGCGTCCGCCTATCTTCTCGGCGCTGAAGGTCCAGGGGAAGAAGCTTTACGAGTATGCGCGGGAGGGCAAGGAGCCTCCTATTGAGATCCAGTCACGCCCCGTGGAAGTGAGCGATCTGCGCATTCTCGAGTGGTACGAGCCTGGCACCCACGAGTACGAGTGGCCCAAGGAAGAGGCTGCCGGAGAGGAGAAGGAAGTTGCGGAAAGGCTTCTGGCGAAAGATGATACCCTGCCCGTAGCTCCGTCTGCTGAGGCCGAAGTCACGGCCGAGGATAGCGGAGAACAGGAGACATCAACAGCTACAAAACGTAAGACACCGCCGCCTACTGAAGAGCCCACGAAAGATGACGTGGATGCCTCATCTGCCACCGATGCCGAGCTTGGCCCATCGGCGGCGAAGAGACAGAAGATCACCGCCAATGGCGACTCGGCGCCGGCGCAGGCTGAGCCCTCAGGTGGTTCCTCGGAAACAGTTACCACGCCTGCAAATGAACCCTCCCCTCAACCCCCTGCTGTGAAAATCACCATGACCGTCTCGTCTGGCTTCTACGTCCGCTCTTTGGCGCATGATCTGGGCAAGGCCCTCGGTAGCTGTGGTCTTATGAGCTCACTCATCCGAACGCGCCAAGCGGATTTCGAGCTGGAGTCTGACAAGGTTCTCGAATATAAAGATCTCGAAGCCGGTGAGGATGTTTGGGGTCCGAAAGTCAGACGATTCCTAGAAGAGTGGGAGAAGAAGAGAGCGGAAGCGAGCACCGAATAAGTCCATTTAGCATAGAACTTGGACACCATCTAAAAGTCTTCTATAACACTTCAGAATACCTGTGTACAATAGACAGCGTTGACCGATGTTTTCAACACGATGATTCTACTTGATGAGCTTTTCCTTGGTTTTCGCCTATTTGCAAATTCCGGGGTTTCTGGATAGCTTCAGTAAACCTGCACAGCCCTGCATAGTACCGGTACATGCTACTACCTGGCTTTTGTCTCAAGTCACGGTGGGAATCGGCTTCCCAAATTCCTCAGAAAGGGGATTTTGCAGGTCACTCGAAAATGATAGTAATCCGTTAAAGAGAGCCAATACGGTTGCGGGCTGCTTCAACCAAGAATGTGAGATGTAAGATTGCGAGGTCTAAGCCAATGGATTAAAGCACATTTACTAATCAAGAGGATCTACCTCTGCATCAAGCAGGAGATTATTCCATGCAATGGATCTATTTCATCAGATCATGCATCTCATCAGGTTCAAGAAATGGCTGGGTGAATGTCGCAAGGAAATAGGAAACGATTGCAAGTCAGATTGTCAGACACAGTCGGCAGTTGAACAAAGGAGAACCGCTTTTGGCTGGGGTATACCGCTGAAAAAAAGCAATTTGGCAAAAGGACAGTGAAAAGAAAATCTAAAAAGAAATGCGGCCAACAGGCATGATTTTAGAAGGACAGAACAGATGATAGAAAGTAGTCTATGCGGTAAACGAGAATATCAGGGCAGTGACTGCTGATGAGCACTGTGAGCGTCAACGAGTGCTGTCGTATGTTAGCTCTCTGTAGCCTGAAGAATGTAACAAGTGCATTATTAACGACTTACTTTGGAGCACAAAGGCTTGTCCTTGTCGGGATTCACAGGCGCACTGGAGGGTGCTGCCGTTCAAGAAGTCAAGCAAAATGCTGTTAGGCAGTTCTTGACGATCTTCATCCGGTATACATGGTGTTCTGAACTCAGTCAGATGGTACCGCTTGATCATGTTGCGGCTGCTTGAATCGACATTTCCAGGGGTCAATATCAGATATCCTTTGTCATCGATCCGAATGAACCGGCGCTTCCAGAGGAGGGTGTCAGGGAACTGAACATTGACCTCGCCGACATCGATTGCCGCGGTGCTCACGCTAGCCTTCGGCTTCTCAGCAGCAGTCCGTCCGCTCTCTTCTTCCTTGACGGAAGGACTGAATGCCCCAATGACGCTCTTCTTTGAATTTGACGTTATCGATGACATGCGGCGTAAGAGTCGAGAAGCGCGAGAGGCCCTCTTCTCCTCAGGGGACGAAGATAAATCGCTGGTCGACTTCGACAAACCGGCCTCTTCCTTTTTCGAGACAGAGGAGATAGACAATGTGCTCTCAGATCGCGACACCGAAGCGGCCCGAGACTGGTGTCCAGAAGTCGCAGAAGACGAAGACATACTACGTTCTTCTGATTTGGTAATCGGCGGTTCAAGAGGCCCACGTTCAACGGTCAAAGGACTAGCTTGGAGATTGAGAACGCCCGAGTCTGGAAGGTCTGGGTTTGAATCGCTAGGGGCATTGGTTCCGTCGCGGACTATCCGAGCAGTCACCGAGATTGAACTCGTAGTGCATGCAGCATTCGTACTAGGTTGTGAGTCGCGACGTTTGACGCTAGGGGCTCGGGAGAAAGCTTCTGGAGTATAAGAGCCATGCCGGGAAATTGAGCCTGCGTCTGAATTGCCCCCACTTAACGACACAGAGGCTCGCTTTCGAAGAGCTTCGAAAGAAGAGGACGCAGTAGGTGGAGCTAGGTTCAAGCCCGAGTTCGATGATGTTTCACGGCTGTTTGAAAACTTCTCCAGAGCTTTGATGCGCTTTGAGATTCCTGAAGATACATTGATCTTCTTGGCCACGAGCACAGGACCTGTTGCGCTATCCATGTCTCCACAAGGACCAGAGACGGATCTGTCCCCGGAGAGTGACTGCATATTGTAAAATTGATGTCCCAGGGCGCTCGGGTTCGAAACTGCCCGCGAATTCTTCCAAGCATGAGAGCTTATGTGGTCATTGTTATTTGGGTAGACAGGCGACAACGGCGACTTTCCGACCGAAACAGGCTTCGCTTCCTCGACAGTGGCGCTTTTCAGTTCTTCCATGAAGGAATCATCCGAAAGGAGGTTTTCGTCATCAGAATAGTCTGGGGTGGGCACCTGAATAGGCTCGAGCTGAGGTTTACGCTTGTCTTTTCGAGTATTCACGTTCTTCGAATCCGTATTCGAGGGCTCAGGGATCAAGTCATTCTGCGGCTCGGCGGGATAAGGTGCTATTACCGTCGCTTCGGGGGTGGAGCTCGACCGTGAATTGGAGGTTGGCGAGTCGGGAATAGGAATGGATTGGGGAAGGGTTGAATCGGCCGGGTCGGTCACTGTTAAAGCCACGTCCAGGCCAGTAACAGGATAATTTTCCGGATGTGAAGGAGCGGGAACAATTTCTTGGTTTTTCTCTGTTGCAGCTTTTTCAGAGTCTTGGGGTGGGACGTGGATGTCGGCGCTAGGCAAGCCGGGGCCACTTTTAGTGTCGTTGTCAACGGACACGGTTAAGTCTCTGTCGGTAGCGTCCGCTTCAATTTCCGGGGGTACTTGAGATGCCTGTGACCGGGCTGTCTCCGATGGTTCTTCTGGATTGGCTGTAAAGGCGTTGTCTGAGTTCAGAAGAGACTGATTGGGAAGCCGTTCGTCATCGAAGTTGGCGACCTCCATACCCACGGCGGAATCGGGTTTTGTGGAGTCGGACGTAGCAAGCTTTTCGGCAGGCGCAAGCTTTTCCTCAGAAAGTGCGATTGGTCCAGGCATAATGGAAAGCTGCATTTTAGGACAAGGCTCTTTGCTATGTTCGGTCACCGCTGCAGTTTCTTGATCATGCTTCGACTTGTGATCAGCCTGACCAATGTTCTCCTTATTCTCGTCAACATCGGTCAATCTTCCATCTTTCACCTTTCGATCCCTTTTGCTCTCCGCCGCACGCTTTTCCATTTGAGTTTTTCGCAGCTGGAGAGCTTTCATCAGCCGTTCCTTTTCGTTTGAGGTGCCGCACGAAGAGAGAGCACTCAATGATTTAGCACCCGGTGACAGCTGAGGCCGTGAAATCGGCATTGACAATGGTGGGACCAACAATGGCGGGACAGGGGGAGCTGTTCGGCTGGACACAGATGCCACTGGGCTTCCTTGAGAACGGGGCCGATTTGGGCTCGGGTTGCCTTTCCGTAGCGAAGATGTCCTAACACCGGCCGGTAAAGAGGCTACTGGCCGCTGCTCGGCGTTTCGAGACAGGTTACCTGCCGTGCGAGGACGCCCGCTCCCGTCTACTGAAGGTCGAGGACCACGCTTGACTTTCGGGGTGTACGTACTCGCACGCTCCAGGTCCCTGAGCGACGGTCTGACCGACTGTATAGACCTCCGCGATTCGGATGGTGCGTAGGATATGTCATCCTCAAGTCTTCTTCGTGAAGCGGGGCGTTCGGATCTACTATCCCAGGAGATAGAGACTTGATCACTCGCTTGGGAATCCTGAGGGCTCTTTGCGACGAGGGGCGATTCGTCGCCAATGGGGGTTTCTCGAGCGTTCGAAGTGACCGATGGGGGCACTATGGTAGCGTCGGATACATGGCTGGTTGACCTCTGTCGATTGTCCGGATGTGGAAATGGGGCCTGCGTCTCGTCCTTGGTCGTATTGGTTTCCTCTGCATCTTCAGCAATTTCCATCAGCCTGCGACGGCGGAGGGAGCTTGAAGAGGAGGTGATAGAACCTGAGGCAGCATGTAACAAGCACGCAGAAGACAGTGCACTCTCGGTAAGATCTGCTGACTTTGCGAAGGAGAATACAGTATCATGGGGTGAGAACTTGTCCAAGATTGACTGAAACTGCACTGTGGTTCGGGCTACACACAAGACCGCGTCAGCGAGATCATAGGTTGGCGGGAAAAGAGCACACAATGGAGCCAGGGTGGAAAGTACCTTGTATAAGCCTCGAGAGACCCTCTGGCAGGTAGCTCAGCACCACCTTTCTCCGCCGATATTGTAAGAAACCGTAGAGAGGGGAGATTTCTTCATAGCTGTCGATCGCACTCCGCACATCTTGCACCCCGCCTGTTCCTCGCTCAAGCAGAGTTATCTCATCCCTTGATACGTAACGGAGAAGAAACCTAAATGACATGAGGCAATTAGTGTCAGCTCGCATAGATAAAAGCGCGAACTATTATCAATCCACAGCCACGCGACGCAATTGCAACCGATCGAAATTCATTGACGAAAGTGTACTAACCATCCTCCCGCTTCGGCCAGAGCGCTCTGGTAGGCTTCGATGACAGCGGGATTATCTAGGCCATTAAGAGACATGACGGGAACCGCATTGGGAGCGGGTATCCGGTTCAAATGTCAAAATGGAGAGATAGACAAGAAAGACGAATCGTTAATTCCTGCAAGGAGGGGTTGTTCAATGAGAGAGAGTAGATAGAGATCAAAAGGAAGGAGGACTGCAGTCGGCTTTGGCGAACAGATGGTGAAGACTTAAAACGAATGTGCGAAAAAGAAGACACGCGTGCAGATCGAGGCCCTGCCCAGATCAGGCACTGCCACCTAAAGAGTCGAAATCCGTCGCTATCGAGGGATTGACAGGATGAAAGAGGGACTTGACGCCGTTGACGGAGATGTATCTACCTCACGAACCTCTCAGGAGTTCAGGGGCACTCCTAGTGGAGGACTAGCTGCCTCCACTTTCAGAGATAGGGACGGGTCGAATTATCCCCACGTTCCTTGGCCCGCTGGCAATTCGATCCGAGGCAGGGAAAATTACAGGTATTCGGTCAGGTACATGGCCAGGTACCAAGTGCAAGTGGTGAGGTCAGGGCCAGGTACGGACTATCAATAGAAGATCCCAAGAATCAAAGACAAAGCATCAGAGGATTCCAAAAGATTCACAGCAGGAGATATTCTCATTGTGACTGGGCAATCAGTAACCAAGCGATGGCTTTATGGACAAGGCAATTCGGTCAACTGCAGACAAACTTTTTGTGTTTGATAGTTACCTGTATTGTTTGGAGGAACTATAATCTATATCTTATTATCAACCAAGGTGCGGACTATTAGATATTTCTCAATAGTATTAATGCTCCAGCTGAGGTATTATGACTACGGTCTGTGCAGTTGCCATGCCCTTGTTATCCTTAGTCTACCCCTCAGAGACCCGTAACCCAAGTATATCTATCATCAGATTTTTGCTGCTTGAGATACTTCGAATGTTTAGGACATAAATACTCTGTATTCATATGATAGTCCTTTAAAAATGATGAACTCGCAAGGCGATATAGACTGTTCATCAGTTGAACAAAAAAGGATATTGTCATTCTTTTCAGACCTATACGAAGCCTGGATAGGCAGAAGAAGTGATAGTTATATCTCCACATTTTCATGCAAGCACAGATCGGCCATTACATGCATGGAAGGGCCCTAAAGTTCGTTACAATCAGGACAATCGGCGATGTCAACTTTCTTGGTTCCGAGATTCTCGTCGCGGGCGACAGGGCAGCCCCTAAGGTATTCAATAACCTTACTTCCAGATAAGCTTGTGACGGATAGAGTAGATAGAAATGTCAATCCAACATTCCAATCGACGTCAGTCTGAATCAATCCATCTTCAATATCTCTCTAAATGGCCGATATTTTCAGCCACCCACCTCTATCATAAACTCAATCCATCCTGGAGCTCTCCGCCACCGTCAGCAGTAACAACCGCTCGGAGACTCCCGATGCGGGGTGGATATTAGTCCCAGTATTTATCATCAGAGCGACCCTCCAACTCCCTTCCCTATTCATATCACGATCCGGATTATTATTCGCATAGGTACCGGCGGAGGTGTTGAAAGCTGCAACGTCGATCATCATGTCTTCCAGTCTTCCTCCAATCTCATCACTACCATCTCTACCACAGGATGACCAATTCAGAGCTCTCGATACCCTCTTTGAGCCATCTCCAGAACTCCACACGCTGATGGCTCCGGTCCTATCCAACCAAACTTTCTCCTCGTATAACAGTCTCATCGATGCAGTAGGCGGCCGGATGTCTGCACTCTCCCCCAAAAATTCTCCCACCGACGATAATATTCTCACGGGAATCTTGGGGTCGCACCCTCGCCTTGGACGGCCTAAAGCTGCAGATACACAACATATGAGCGAGCTCAGTAAGAGAGAGCAGGCCAATCTGAATACAGGGGCAGAAGAACAAGCGGAGAAATTGAGGCTACTCAATGTCCAATATGAGGAGAGATTTCCGGGACTCAGATTTGTGTATGTGCTTTGTCGAAAGTATCAGCATTCAATGCCTTCTGTATGCTGACCGTATGTCTCCCGATGACTTGACCTAGAACGTTTGTCAATGGAAGAAGCAGAGACGTCATCATGGAGGAAATGCGCCAGAGGATTGAAAGAGGCGATATCGAGCGAGAAAGACAAGAGACCATCCAGGTGAGTGCCTTTGGTCGACCACATTAACAGGTAACGAGCGGCCAGCTAATTCTGGCATGGATTGACAGGCAATGTGTGATATAGCCAAAGATCGAGCTAGAAAACTGGAACAGTCATCCTTGGATTGAGCTTGTGTATCATCTTTGAACCAATAGATCCGAATGAGAACATGAGAACAGAGTCACGATGGATTCAGTCCTTAAAACCTGATGCTCTTCTTGAGGATGTTGTCTTCGCAAAGCAATGGATGTGCGACAACCTGTGCGACGGTTTGATCTATTTTGGAATAGCCAATGACACAGTCTCTGAGGCTGCTTCCAGAAAAGCCTCGAATAAGTTTAATGTTTGTAATAATCCGGGTCTGTCCCGCGCCTGGACTTTAGTCTTGGATAGTGTGATAATCGTGAAAATGCTAGTTTCTGGAGAAGCGTCTGCCTATGTCTGTCAAAGAGAGCCCATCCCCTGCGTGTAAAGGACTCCATCTACGGAGTATAGGGACGGCTTGGTGGTTGCCGTGCACATCCGACACTATCCAAGTTTGTCTAATGAGACTTCCCTTGGGTGTATAGTTGGACAGATTATGCTTAGTTGCTGCCACGACTCGTCTTAGCCTATTATTACTCTGTACGGAGTAGATAGACCCTGATCCATCTGCCACAGCGTTCCTCTCGCCATGTTCTGTCACAGTATGGTTCGTTCTCATGACAGGAATCAATAATAATGGTAATTGGTCCACTTGTTCTAGACCAGCCAAACCCGGAGATTCTTCATTCGCTCAGTTAGTTGCTTTGTGTGTAAGCTCTACCATGACCATGGATCCCATCATTATTAGAATTGAAAAGTATGGAACTGCCAGATTCCTCCAACCGAGAAGATAAAAGGCACTACTATGATGTCCCGCTTTTGATGTCATCCATCCTGGTGTAAGCCCTCATCCGAATATTGCCGTCCACTTCCTTTTCATTCAATCACACTAAACACAAAAGGAGGATGGGCCAGAGTAATGATAATCTATCATGGCCACTTAACTAATCTATCTAAGTATAGTTACTATTCTTATCAATTATTCATCATCCTTGGTAGCTACTGGTTAACATGACCCTGCTCCAAGTTTCCTAGAGCCCTGTCAATTCTCTTCTTGGCCTCTTCTACGACCTCTCCACCCAGCTGTACACCGGCAGGAATTTTCCCATACATCGTACCGGTCTCTATCTAAATTCCACATGCGCTATTACGAGCCTCAAGCTCACTATGGCGGAGGGTTCGCAGGAGACGGACGATCAAAGGGTCCAGGTGCCGCGGGCTTCGACAGCCCCCACGTTGCCCGCAATCATCACCACCACCGCGAGCAGTCGCAAGGAAGGCCAACGCAATGACGATAACAGCAATAAGAATGATAGTCCCAGTGTCGCGACACCAGGACTCTTAAGGACTTCACAGTCTTTCCCTGTCGGTATGCGCAACTCTTTTAAGGACTGGTCATTCAAACAAATCAGCCCCGTTCGTTCCGGCTCCCGTGATTTATCACCAATGATTCTGTAATGTGTCACCCGCTGATGGTTATTTGCTTTTCTCGCGGACTTCATGATAGGTTCTGTCGCGTCCGATAATGCATCAGGCTCAAGCGCAAATCAGCAAGATACGAAAAAGAATGCCCGATCATCAATTCAGAGTAATGCCTATGGCAGAAATTCCATTTCCTCCCCGACGCTCTACGGGCCCAGCGCAGATTCGAGCGCGATCGATCCGCTGTCGCAAGTGAGTTTCTTCGCATTCCCGACCTTACAATACAATGTCGTGCAGAATAAAAGCATTGAGGACTTATGCGCTACTGGCGAACTTAGCATATCATTAAGCGCACCAATACCGAACGATCGATTCCTCTGAAACTCCTAGGAAGAGCATCATATGAAGCGGAAGCTGGCGGAACGAACGACTACTCTCCAGCTGAGCAGGGCTCGATCCTGGGGGATCCTGTATTGCGCCAGAAGCCTCCCAAAGAGAAAAAGTACGTGCCACATGTCTCGTTCAGTTCGGTTTTCAACAGGTCATTGTCTTTCAATCGTCCTCCAGCATATCCTCCCCTGTCAGCTGCACCCCTAAATCCATCCTCTTCCTCTCCAACAACGAAGCTCGTCACTGCTCTCCGAACAATTACTTGATAATAACGAGGCATATTGGCGATTCACAGGAAAGGAGTATCGTTCCTCAGTCGGATAATCGGAGGCAAAAAGAAAGAGAATCTATCTGAAGCAGAGGACGATGTCTCGGAACCGGACACCTTCCGCATGGATGCCAACGCCGCGGCACAACCGATAGGGTTCTTTCCCAAGTTTCCCCCTCCACCAAAGTACATCAGGGTGAAGGCATACTACAAGAAAGACAAAACGTTCAGTAGGGTCTTTCTCGCGCAGGAATTGACTGACACAGAGGCACCCTCGAACAACTCGGTAAAGGATGCAATGGGATCGACGACAGGCACCCTAAGCGGCGGCAATACTGGGAAAGCAATATGGGCGTTATCATTCTCGAAAGACGGCAAGTATCTAGCGGCAGCAGGTCAAGACAGGAGGGTGCGCGTTTGGGCCGTCATTGCCTCACCGGATGATCGTAAAGAGGAAGGACTCGGTGAAGTCGACGAAGCTCAAGACGGGAACGAGCCTCCGCGGCTGAAGGCGCCTGTCTTTAGGACCAAGCCGATCCAAGTGTACGAAGGTCACACGGGAAGCGTGCTGGACCTGAGTTGGAGTAAGGTACGAGTCTCACATCGAAGAGGTATATAATGTGATCTGACGCGGGTGATCAGAATAACTTTCTATTGTCTTCCTCAATGGACAAGACTGTCCGCCTGTGGCATGTGTCAAGGTCGGAGTGTCTCTGCTGCTTTCAGCACAGTGATTTTGTTACTTCTATCCAGTTCCACCCCCGTGACGATCGGTTCTTCCTTGCAGGGTCTCTCGACACTAAACTCCGTCTCTGGAGCATTCCGGACAAAAGCGTGGCGTTCGTCGCGGCGGTCCCGGATATGATCACATCGGTCGCTTTCACCCCTGATGGTAGGCACTCAATTGCCGGTTGCCTCAATGGTATGTGCAACATATACGACACGGATGGGTTGAAGGCGGTTGGGCAGATACACGTCCGATCAGCGCGAGGCCGCAACGCCAAGGGCAGTAAGATAACAGGCATTGATACTATTACGTTACCTCCCGGCGACCCCAACGGTGAGGTAAAGCTCCTGATCACGAGTAACGATTCACGGATACGACAGTACAACTTTAGGGATAGGACACTGGAGGCGAAATATCGCGGCAACGAGAACACATGCAGTCAGATCCGTGCCTCCTTTAGTGACGACGGCAAACATATCATTTGCGGGAGTGAAGATCGCCGGGCATATGTTTGGCCTACGGGTGCCGTGGAGAAGGACTTCGATAAGCGTGCTGTTGAAGTTTTTGAAACACGGTCCGCTATTGTCACCGCAGCTGTAATGGCTCCGTCGAAGACAAAGCAGGTCTTGGGCTTTTCCGACGACCCAGTGTACGACATCTGCAACCCACCACCGGTGACCTTGGTGAGCGCCGCAGAGAAGGAAAATGTTCGCCAAAATCGCAACTCCGACATTGGCAAGCTGGCGCAGGAATCCCCATCATATCTCTCCCGTTCAACGCACCCTGAAGGCAATATCATCATCGTCGCCGATTATTCGGGCAAGATCAGAGTTCTGCGGCAAGACTGCGCATTCCAAAAGCGCCGCTACGAGAATTGGGACACCCATTCCACCTTTTCCAGGAGACTGTTGCGCCGGTCCAATTCAGCTCGCCATAGCATTTCGTCTTCAATCGGGAAGGAGTCATCTCACAAGACACCTTCAGAGCGCATTCTCTCTTGGCGCAACTCGGTCATAGGGCACGACACAGCGAAGCGGGAAGGCTCCCGTCATGGAACGAGGACTCGGAGTCCGTCTCCCCACAAGTCTATACCCGATGTCTCACGTTATTCAAGTCCAGTGCGTCAATTTTCAGGCGGAGCACCGGCCGATTCTCTCTCGCTCACTGTGTCTCCACCGCCATCTGCATACAAGTCGTCCTTTGACAGTCGACGGTCCAGTGTAGAAGCCTCGAAGCGGAACGCTGAGAACGTCGGAATGGCCCCGACCGCGAGGACAATAGTCGCCAAGGGAAAGGATAAGGACAACCCTTTGTGGCTACAGGGCCAACATAGTTATGCATTCTGGAACAAGATCGCCCATGATGCGCTGGCAGCGCAGAACAAAACCCCATCTCAGTCACGGGATTCGAATAGGTTATCTGTTCCGGGACGCAAATTCAGTACGGGCAGCGCTTTGAGCAGTGATTACGGCTCCTCCAACGGAGAGGGGGACGAGGGAGACGTGCTCAGATGTGATAACTGCCAAGGGACGAACTTTCGAGCAACCAAGTCGCGGACTGGGAAGCAGAAATTGATCTGCGTGCGCTGTCATCGACCTATCGACTAAGCACGGATGGGGCTTATCTACCTGCATTTTTTACATATGTCCTTCTATTTCCTAGATTAGTATTTCGCATTTTGGGTGTCACTTGTCTATTTTGGGTTCAAATCTGCAGGGGCCGTTGTATTTAGCAGCTTGTACAGTACACGAGATGATGATGGACGATCATAACGGATGACGCATGACGGGATGTTTCTTTTGGCATGAACTTGAGGTGTACAAAATTCATTATGAATGTGTCCCAGACACTTGGTTAATCAAACCTTGGTGCAAGACCGTGTTCAGTTTGGACGCTTAGGTTTCCTGTCCAGTTGGCTGCCTTGCCAAGCCTCGACCACAGCGAAATGAAATGAAATTGTTCTCCAACTCCACGTTGTCAAGTGTCCGCAGTTCGTACTCCACCTCCAGCTCAATTGCATCCACCATAAACGAAATCTCCAGCAGTCAGCCATTAGGCACACTTCTGCATCTGGAACCCCTCACAAACAGTCTAGCCATCGCGCGCAGAATTCCGAGAAAGAGAAGAAATCAACCCTCAGGCAAGATGCCATACCTACCCACAAGCCAGGCCTTCCTGGAACAATCCGCTCTACTGCTTGAAGCATACCCAGAGACTGTACGTCAAGACCAGGAGGATCTTACCTCATGCAATGGATTCCTCAAAATTCCCTACGAATGAGCCAAACCTCAAGTGACCGTGACTGACCCTCCAACGCAAACCGCGCAGACCCGCGTCACAACAAAATACGGCTTCCCTTCACAACGACTTTCAGCACAGAAAAAGCCCTCCTCGACACCAAACCCCGAGACGACAGACTCCCCGGCCCCAACTGCCGCCAACCCTGTCGCAGTCCTAACCCTGAAAACATACAACCCAACCGCAGGCATCTGCCTGAAGTACCGCACGAATAAAGCCGCGGAGGTCGGCCGACTGGTGACCAGTCTGGGGAAGTTGGCGGGCGGTGCGAACGCCGCGGGGCTGGGGCTCTCGGCTCCGCCGCCGACGACGATTGCTTCTGTTTCTGCTGCCGCGGATGTGGAGATGACGGATGCTCCGGCGGTAGTCGAGGAGGCTGCGAGTGCGAATGCGAGCAAGACAGATACGGGTGCTAAGGGTGGGAAATCGAAGAAGAAAGGCGGGAAGGGGAAGAGGTGATGAGTAGCAGAGCGGACGAGCGTATTTGAACGAGGGATGAAGGGTGTCCGTCACCAGATACTGCACCGATGATGACTACTGTGGCCTGCCAAGTGGTGCTGTTCCCTGTTTCACCTCTGATCGATCGATCTGAGACGTGATGTAGACTGTCGGAGCAGCTGTGACGATGAGAGCAGCTTGTTCTGGTTTCGTACGTGTGAACTGAGACTCCGTCGAGGCGCATCAGCAGGATTACAACCGACAGCACTCGAGGAAGATCGAAGACAGAGGGTTCATGACTTGCATAACGAAGCGGATCTGGAGCATGTGTGAATCATTCATTATCAGCAGACTACATATTCCAAGAAGGTTTGGGTTCCAAGTCAGTCGAAGAATTAAAAAAATTCTGTCAAAATATCCAAGGGGAATGTATAGTGCTATCCTTTCTAACTAAATACATTGCATCCGTCCATACACTCATTATATGCCGAACATTTTCTGAATGGCGGAGCGGAAGACTCATAATACAGACACTCAAAGAAAAATTCCGCCAGTTCCTAACGCCGTGCCCATGCGTAGCCATCAAAAATAGAAATATCATAAATCAATAACGAAGGTGAGCAAACGAGACAATTATCTTCATATCAAATGGCAGGCGCCAGAGACCCTCCCAAGGGTCCCGAACATGGCACACAGCTGGGTATAAGTCGTTCAGTGTTGGTTTAGAAGTCCTCGTCAAAGCTGAGACCTCCATCGTTGGCGTCCTTTGCAGTGTCCTGGCTGGCATCCTTCTTGGTGCTGGCCATGACACCGGCCTTCTGGTAGTCACCAACACGCTTCTCAAAGAAGTTGGTCTTTCCTGCAAGCGAGATACTTTCCATGAAGTCGAAGGGGTTGGGAGAGTTGTAGTACTTCTTGTTTCCGAGGGCGACCAACAGCCGATCAGCAACGAACTCAATGTACTGGCACATCAGCTTAGAGTTCATGCCTAGGAGAGCAACAGGAAGAGCGTCTGTCAAGAACTCCTGTTCGATGGCCACAGCCTCAACGATAATATCCTCAACAACCTTCTTGTCGGGGCGATGGTTCAAGTGAGAGAACAGAAGGCAAGCAAAGTCCGTGTGCAATCCCTCGTCACGAGAGATGAGCTCGTTGGAGAAAGTAAGACCAGGCATCAATCCACGCTTCTTCAGCCAGAAGATGGAAGCAAAAGATCCAGAGAAGAAAATTCCCTCCACAGCAGCGAAGGCCACAAGACGCTGAGCAAAAGTAGATTCCTTATCCGAAATCCATCTCATGGCCCACTGGGCCTTCTTGGCGATACAAGGAACTGGAGGAAATTAGTGACTGGTCTAAAGAGAGGAAAGAGACAACAGCATACTGGTATCAATGGCATCAAAAAGGTAGGTCCGCTGCTTAGGCTCCTTGATGTACGTATCAATCAGCAAGGAGTATGTCTCCGAATGAATGTTCTCGATCATGATCTGGAAGCCGTAGAAGCATCGAGCCTCAGGCACCTGCACCTCATTGCTGAAGCGCTCCAGCAGGTTCTCATTGACGATACCGTCCGAGGCAGCGAAGAAGGCAAGGACATGAGAGATGAAGTAACGCTCATCGTCATTCAGGCGGTTGTTCCAGTCGTGCAGATCTTTGGAGAGATCAATCTCCTCGGCGGTCCAGAAGGAAGCCTCGGCTTTCTTGTACATTTGCCAAATCTGCGTTGGAGAAGCAGGGCATATCAGCAAACAATGCACACATAGGAAGGACATGGCGCGGAGAAAACCACTTTACGCGTGACGCGTTGTGGACGTGGCACTCACCTCATGATACTTGATTGGGAAGAGTACGAAGCGATGAGGGTTCTCTTGAAGCAGTGGTTCATTTGCCTCGAGTTCCTTTACACTCTGAGCAACTTTAGAAGCTTCCGTAGGCTTTTCTGCAATCTTTTCGGTCGGCGCGTCGGCGAGGGCGGTGGACGACGGCGCGTTCTCCTTGCCCACAACTCCGAAGTTGAGCTTCTTCACAGGTGAATCGCTCATCTTAAGGTTCTCGAGAGAGGATGCAGCCTACAGGAAAGCAATGTTAGTGTATGGTGTTGCTGTGACGCGTCTGCAGTAGGAGGCAAGGAAGTGACATCAGGTACCTGCTTGGAAGGAGTAACTTGCGCAGCCATTTCGTGGAGTGTCTGATGCAATGTGAGGGAAAATATCGAGACAAATTGATCACACAGACACAACAAAAAGCTTCTAGATTGGGCTGAGAAGATGGGATGGAGAGGAAGTAGCTGCTGGGAAGGAGGAAGAGCCGGCAGAAATACTTGCTTAAGACGAGGCAGGGTGATCCTTAGCGCGACGGGCTAAGTCACGTCGCACGTGATTTGGCGCGCTTTTTGAACCCAGTGGCTGGCGGAAAATCCATTATTACGTATTTTGGTGTTTTGGTGTCGCGTCTGCCAGGGACGAACACAGTAACACTTGGCTGCAAGGCAGCAACTTCATCAAGCCTGGATGCCTTCAGTCTTTCGAAGGACTATTTCTTGGCTCATACGTTTCGGTAGTCTCGAGCTCCGGCAGTCATATTTATTTTATCTACTCCGTATTATCCAAAGCCTTGTCGGGCGACTTACACGTTTATTAAATGTGAATCACATATTGGATCCTTACAGAAATATTAGTGGTTATTTAGGATTACAAGAGACAAGTCTTTCCTGTGATTAAGGTATTCTTATTGAGTGACTTCTTATTGTCGCGTCACTCGCGTCCAGATACTTATCTTATCAGATCTGATGTGATCATCTCAGACTCTGGGGAGAGCCCGCCAGACTTGGTCAGCACTGAACTGGCCTATACCTATATTCATTCTTGAACCTGCTTCTTGTACCTGTCGCTTGTCGCCACATGCCTTAATTTGAATTGACATTGTAGAATGTTTCCGCATTGACTCCTGCTGTCCTGCATAGCTCGCACGCGGGTGTGTCTCATTATCTTATCGCAATACCGAGGACGCGACTAAGTTCGACGATGCATTCTTGCTCACATCCATGGCCCCATCTACGCCAGAGCCTTTGGGAGTTAAAGTTGAGTAATGATTGTGTAAGCTGGCATAGCACTTCAGTCGATTCCACCATCCGACGGAATGAGACGATATCAGGCCTAAGGTGGGTGCCTCGCGGTATTTCGGAAGAGGAAAGCCAATCAACTGAGGACAGCTTTCGAACATCTAGCTTCCACAACGGATTTACGGGTATATACGGTGTACGTCTGCTTTGTGTTGTATATCCCTTGAATTCCTGGATCCGCAACTCCTCATACTATTCGTACCTGACAGCAGGACTACCCAGTCAGTTGGGTGGGTCTCACTTTCACACTTTCACCATCCGGTCACCGAAGTGGAGATAGACGCGTCTTAATGCCGGCTGGTGCCTTTCCAACTCTTAGGATGACATGTATACGAGGTAACCAGTTCATTGTACCCTTCTAGGATTGGTGAAGGTCCTTGCCTTTTCACCATGCATGAGCGGCATTATAGGCCCGCCTGATTGCTATCAGTTCTGGATTCCCTCAGACAAGAGACATTCGGCGAGTTTTCACAGGTCGAAATTATGAATGATGCTGAGTGTTTTACGTGATGTTCAGCGTTAAAGGCGACGCGAGGAGGAACGATCTGCATCTTTACCTTCTGATGCCATATCCGACGCTCCGACAACAAGCCGTCCGATGTGGTGTAATGGCTAACATCGCTGTCTCTCACACAGCAGCTCGGGGTTCGATTCCCCGCATCGGAAATTATACTTTCAATTTTGTTCTATATTTTTCTCTTGAGAGATGACTTATGCGGCTGGGAAAGCTAGGATTTTTTTTTTTTTTTTTTTTTTTTGATTGATCAGAAAATTCGGCTCCTAGTGTTACAAGCTCCTACCATAGGCATACAGGACGCGATACAGTTTACACGACACGCAACTAATAACAGTCTCATGAGAGACTGTAATACTTGCTTATCTCATATCAAGCGCCCGGATGGTCTAGTGGTTAGTTTTCATATTATTGCGCCACCATAATTTCCACGCTAACAAAATAAAAAGGTATGATTCTCGCTTTGGGTGCGAGAGGTCGCGCGTTCGACTCGCGCTTCGGGCCTTACTTTTTTTGCTTCCCTCCAATTCATCCGTGTCTTGGTGCATTACGAATAGAGAGGTAGATCCTACCTGTTCGAGTTGAACTTTCCAGTACGCAATTTGCAATAATCACATCACGTCGGCCGCTAAGGGACGTGGATGGAGGTGGTCTACGAGTAGCGACCCTACTGTCCACAGGGACGCTCCATTTTGCTCGGTCCATTCGATGCAGCTCTTCTTATAAGCAAAAAGGGACAAGCTCTTCAACGTAGTCCGATGTGGTGTAATGGCTAACATCGCTGTCTCTCACACAGCAGCTCGGGGTTCGATTCCCCGCATCGGAAAACACAGTTCCTATTTTTGCCGTTTATCGTTAATTCTCCTACAATACGATGCTGTTACTACTTCTTTGTGCTCTCAGTAATTGCCGCTCTCAGATGAGATTCGGTCTGCGCATGTCCCACCCTGTTACTAGTTCATTCGGCCACATTGAACAGAATCTACCTGGTCAGACTGGCCGACTTGAAGTACCACCACCCAAATGACGATTAGCCGCCAGTTGGGTGAGACGGCGACGCTCTTCTCGGTCTGCCTCCTCGATTGGGTGCAAAATTTACATGGTCTCCACGCTCAATTAGACTTGGGCAGGATGGTCTTGCGAGGACTGGGAAGGAGACATGCTTCACTACCTACATCTTTCCCATCCCAGTACTCCGTATCCGTTTCTTGAAGTCGCCGCACGCGATAGCAACCCCCGGGACTCGTTAATCCGCAAACCGGCAGGAAGACCTTTTTTCGGCCGCGCTGCAGGTTATTTATTGCCGATAGGACGATGGAGATAACGACCAAAAATACGTCAAAAACATATATATATTCAAAAGGCCCGGAGCAGTTGAATTCCGATGCGGGGAATCGAACCCCGAGCTGCTGTGTGAGAGACAGCGATGTTAGCCATTACACCACATCGGATAACTTGTGGAAACATCTGGACTTTCTAAACTCATGTCACAAAGCCAGGTCGGGAAAATTCTGGCACTGAGCGACTATGGGTCGTACCGTCACCATGGAACCGGAAAGCCAGATACTGTTCCGATTGGTTGGCCGGGCTGAAGACGTTCTGGCCCACTGTCTTAGCGAATGTAGATAAGGTAAACTATATTGCCAAGAGCACTACTTTGAGCATGCGTTGAGGATATGGACTCTTTAAGGGTCTGCATCCTACGAATGAGATCTTGCTCATATTGCTTGATCTTCCTCCCTGTCTCAATTAAAGGTAAGGGAGAAGTGAGCGGTGCACGCGGCGACTAAGGGTAAAAATAATCTCAGTGCAAAAAGAGAAGGTAGATTTGTCTTCTTCCGATGCGGGGAATCGAACCCCGAGCTGCTGTGTGAGAGACAGCGATGTTAGCCATTACACCACATCGGATTTTGTTGAAAACATGAGCGGCTGTTGACTACATACGCCAGCCACATACTGACGAAGTGATATCATGCCGGCGCGGGCAAAACCATATCGCCTTGTCCTCCTTAACCACCAGCGGATTGATCGTCCTTGATGAATCATGGGTTAAGACCATCCGGTGTAGAATCATGTAGAGCTACGTGGTTAATCCCATAATCGATAAGGGGTTTCGTAGTACTTCATGTTGAAGCCTGGTATGCGCATATATATATATCGCGTGATGCATCCACCAGGCCACCCTAATGGCGACTGTTGCGCAAAAGCCAACGCTGGGAACAACCACTATCCATCAACTAGCAGAGCAAACAGTGGCCGGAAACCATCAAGGCCCCAGAGCTAATAGGCTAGCTCAGTGTCTCCCCAAAGGCATTGAAACACCCGGCGAAGGTAAGCCACCGACGAACCGCCATGTGCCTCAGTGACAGAGCTCCAGACTGACTCCCAAAATATGAAGTGAAAAACCGAGTCTATACCACTGTATCGAGATCTACACGATGTATTATATACCGATATGTACAAAAAGTCCAAGCCGCATCGCAGCAGGACGACCCGGAAGTCAACGCCTCCAATGTATATACCCAACGATTTGAGCGATCTCTTCGCTGCAACCGCCCGACAATGCAAAGACCAATGCCCTACTCTCTAGAAATCCCATTATTACCATCACTGAATCTATCGACGATACTCAAAAGGCATTCCGTCGCGATAAGAACCAACCGTGCTAGACACGCGCCTTTATGGACTCAGGAAGAAACCGGTCCTCGAATCTGCGCATCAGTTTATTGGTCTGCTCAGCCAGACTGAGAGTCAAGATCTACAAAACGAGTCAGCACCAAGCCGTGAAGCGTAACCTCGAGATGCGGGAGTTACTTACTGTATGAGGCAAGATACGAGCCAGATGGGCAAAGTAGCCCTTGTAGATCGCAAGGATACCCTCCTTTCGGATAGTTTTAAAGAGGCAATCAAATGCTCCCTTGTAAAGATCACCAGTCTGGTTGTACATTCTGGACATAACCGTGTCTGTTTATAAAATTAGCTGGCCCATAATCGAACAACGGCCAATTGTACGTACCGGGAGGGTGCATGACACAGCAGACCACGAAGCCAGATACCGTACTACTGGCTAGATGAAGGGCTGGGCCATCCTCCATTCCCAGGTGCTTCACCAAGCGTCGCTTCGCGAAGAAATACGTGGGAAGCTGGACGGAGCTGCCGAAACCAGTGCGAACCATAGCCGCTCCAACGCCCCGATAGAGTCCGCCAACGCCTTCGGAAGTATAAATTTTTCGCAAACCATCAAAGGAGTTCCGATATTCGTGCTGCGTGCCGACGGGAAGGAAGGGAGAATAAGACTGCAAACGAGTTTTCACGAGGAAGAAAGGAGATCCAGCTGCTGCACCAATGATGCCAGACGCAGCGCCTGAGAAGACATTGATACCGAGGGATTGAACTTGCGGATCCTTATAGACAGCGGTTGTGATACCCTTGCGCAGCGGCTCATAGAAGCCCAAACGACAGCCATTGAGCAAAATTTGGTAGATGTACTAAGTCGGTACACGTCAGCACCCAAGATTAAACCACCGTGTAAAGACAACATACAGCTGAGCCGATTCCCCGGAACAGCCCGCGGGGACCTTCGTTTTGCAGAATGACCTTAACTCCGTGGAAAACGCCCTTGTATTTCTTGACCGCTTCGCTTTTCGCCTGAAGTTCTCCCTGTAGCTGTAACCTGCAAATCAAGAGAAAGTCAGTTTCGTCAATTAAAGCACATAAGAGGACAAGGCATACCGAATCTTCACAGTCTCAAAACTATGAGTTACTGTTACCGCACCGCATGCTGCAATACCCCCAGCAATGAATGCCCTTTAAAGCAATTGCCTCTCATCAGCACACAATAACCCCTAAACCCATAAACATATAAAACGAAATGTCGGCTCATACCCTGTTGTTGTCGACATAACGACGGATAAATGGACCCTGCAAGCGGTGGACGACGGCCGAGATCTTATGGAGCAACGAAGGAGATAGGAGAGTGGAGATAGTGGCTAGAATCAAGAAATCAAAAGGAATCTGCAACAATGGCACGGTGAATTTTCCCAGAAATAAGGCGCCCCTCCTATTTCCAGGCGACCCGCTGCTGAGGAAGAATCTTAGATTATAAAGCGACCAACACAGTCATGGTCGCATTGCAACCCGAATCTGAGATGCATCGCGGCGGAGAGATCAATTCCGTATTGCTGATTGGCCGCTTTACTGCCAACGTCTCCGATCATCGGATCGGCATCTTTCAGCCGCCGGCGCGGATCAACTAGTCTTCCGCTTAGCGTCGGTTAAACGCGCCAAATTTCCATAACGGAAGCAAGCGCGCGTTGCTCCCCAGTTTCGCAAAGCTCCCCGCATCACAAATCCGTTGCTGTTGTTGAGGATCAGCAGGGACACAAGCCAACCAGAGGACGGGCTTAAGAGGGCACGGAGGAGGACTGCTAGGCCGGTTGAATATCTTTGCTTTATCCTCCCTGGGTTTATGACGATCGATTTGCGGTAACTACTGAGCCATAAATCATGTCGGAAACCCAGCAGCAACCCCAGGTGCCGTCGCAGCAGTCGCAACCTCAGGCTCCGATGCAGACTCAGAAAGTGTCTGATATAATTCGTAGCTTTCGTCCTGCAAAGGTCAGTCCGCGACTCTCTTCTACATTGTTCCATTGGTCTGACTGTCTCCATGTCGAGAGTAAGGCGTTCAAAGGATCGAAGCAAGAACCCTCCAACTATGTAACTTCATTGGATTTTGATGATCAGGGCGACTACCTGGTGACTTCAGGCGACGATGAGACTATTCAGATTTTCGATATTAAAGAGGGTAAATCTACAAAATCAGTCCCCAGCAAAAAATATGGTGCCCATTTAGCGAGATTCACGCACCATTCTCGTCAAGTCCTTCACGCGAGCACGAAGGTCGATGGTATGTCTATCGCGGAGGTCTCCATGATCAATTTGTCTGGACTCACATTTGAACAGATTCTCTTCGGCTACTGGACCTTCACAATGAGGGCTACGTGCGTTACTTCTCCGGCCATACCGACAAAGTCACTTGCTTGGCTCTCTCTCCTGGCAGCGACGCCTTTATCTCATGCTCAAAGGATGACACCGTTGCGCTCTGGGATCTTAGCTCGAGGAATGCGCAGGGGAAGTTGAAATTGGCCACGCCTTACCTGGTTGCCTTCGATCCCTCTGCTTCTGTGATCGCTATTGCTTCACAGTCTACCTCGTCAGTCCTTCTATACGATTTCCGCAACTATGACAAGGCTCCGTTTTCCACCTTCGATCTCGCGCCGTACGAAGAAAGATACACTCCTTCTACACGTGGAAGAGCGTGGACTCGCCTTGAATTCTCAAACGATGGAAAACACTTGATGGTTGCGACGGACTTTCATGGGCATTTCATTCTCGACGCCTTTGAAGGCAATATCAAGGCGTTTTTGCTCGGCAAGAACGGATCCCCTGGCAGAGCAGCTCCTGTCTCAACAACGGGAAAACCACTTGGTCAAGGGGACGCATGCTTTACCCCGGACGGACGATATGTTCTGGGCGGCTCCGGCGACCAGTCAGATGTTCTCGTATGGGATATGCAGCAGACACCGGATGCCAATTCCGTCCTGCAGCCAATGACCAAACTACCAAACCGTGGTCGCACCGCCATACTAGAATACAACCCACGGTACAACATGCTTGCTACTGCGGATAAGGAGGTGGTCTTTTGGCTTCCAGAAGAAAATTCGCGGTCCGCTGAAAAATAAGAATATGCGTGTTGATCCCATTCGGATCGACGGGCAAAGAAGTCTAGCTATGTACCGGTCAGATCAAACCAAGGACATGAGGTTGCTGCTGCGGGCTATCCTGCCTCCAACACTGCTTCCCTGCTTTGTTGAGAGATTTTACATTTTTCGATCTTTGTCTTTTCCTGCCAAGCTTCTGGCAGTGTCACAAACCCACACCGGCGGCCCCTCCAAGCCTTCATCGCCATTCCTATGTTCCTCGATGGTGGTCTCAATTTGTTTGACCACAGTGCGATTGCTCGATATGGTCGTGACTCCCGTGGACCAACCATACATAAACACACTGTAGTTAATATCTGACAGAATCTTTGCGACTTTGCGGGATACTGGAGGTAGGATCCCTTGATCTCTCGCCGCTTCAATAGCGGATTTGGCATTAACCGTTCTGATCGGAATTTCCCAGCCAGATGGTACTTCATAATCTGACAATTCCTGGAATCTTTCAAGGAGAGAGGTGGTGTCACAGTCATTGAAGGGTGCATCACCCATCAATAACTGGGCCCTTCTTCTCTCTGCCTCCGTTCCGATAGTATCGACTATCTCCCGCATTCTCCTCGCAGCTTCCTCCGTGCAAACCAAGTCATGCGCGGTCGTCGCCGGCCAAAGCTCTGTGGGCAGCAATGGCCGCTGCTTTTCTACCTCGACCTGCTTAAAAATAGCTTTATGATGGGAGGGAGAAAGGGTTACGGTTTTGTAATGCGACAAGTCTGAAACCATGGCAAGCAGCAGAGTACAATCCACATTCAAAGTGGAAGTGAATCGCTTGAACGGGCTGGGGAGCAATTGAGACAGTTCCCCTTCCTCGACAGCATCATGCTCGGGACCTTCTGCATCCTCCGTGCGCGCTCTGGCTACTTCCCCACCACAATTCACTGTGATACCATAGCTCCGAATCTCTTTCAATAAATCATCGATCTCGGGACCTTTCCCCTCCTCAATCTTTGGAATCACGAATCGCAGCCGGGGATGTTTATACCTGATTCGTGTAGCATTGGCAGCTTTTCTCATACCGCACGCCAATTTAATCAGCTCGACCTCATCATCGTCGTCCTCGTCGCTGTCGAAGTCGTCATTGTCGTAATTTCGTAAAACGGTTCTAGGCTCGCCATCACCCCCGTCTTCCGATTCCGCCTCCCACCCTTTCTTGGCCATCTCGAATAGGAGACGAGTTTCGGAGATCGTAGAGACCTTTACCCATTCTTCACCATCATCTGCAACGATATCGACAAAGACGCTCTTGCGCTTGTCCTGACTGGCCTTCTTTGCCTGGCTCTCCTCAGGTCCCTTTCCACCATGTTGCGCACCGGCATCCCAGTAGAACCGCTTCCCAAAAGCGACCAAACCCGTGCATGTATTCTTAGCAACGTTCCAGACCGCCTCGTAAAAGGGTAGATTTGACGACGGCAAGGCATGCAGAAGTCGTAGCTCGGCCTGGTCATCATGTGATCTTGTTTCTGCATCCGCCTTAGCAGATACCGCGTGCACCTTTTTGGAGAGTTTCTCGAGCATGCGCAACTCGGATAGAACGTTGGATCGGAGCGATCGGACCTCGACCAACTGGGGATTGCGGAGGTTGCGGATGAGCATAGACTGGAGGGTATCTATTTCGCCAAGGAGACGGCGGCACTTGTTCACCAGGGAGGTCGCAAGGGCGCGGCTGTTTTCAGGGTCGGATTTATCTCGAAAGTCATCTTTGACGGCAACTCTTGGATTGTCAAATGTTCGACTACCTGGGTCATTGTTGTGCATGGCTGGCAGCCAGACGGTAAGGTAAGCGGAGATGAGTCCAAGGTGGGATGCTATGACGGCTGCGGTAGGTAAATAGACACTAGGTACAGAGTACCAAGGCGGAATTCCAGGTAAGCCAGAGTGCTGCGTTTATTACATCTCTAGTGCAGATTCTTGGCTGGATTCAAACATACGTCTCTTAATTTGTAGATAACATATACACATAAATTCAATTAGCCCATTACTAGAGTAGTAGGAAGTTAGAGCCAATCTAAAAATACACCAATGGGCCAAACGCCATCAAATGCCTGCAAAGTTGAAACCAAACGGAAAGATCCTTAGGAGATCGATCGAACCTTCAACTTCCCGAGAATTGATATAGAGATGAGTTGATGCCACTTCTGAACAGAAGGATAGAGAATGCATATGCAATCACGATTGTTCTGATTCGAGACAAGACTCCGGCTCCTCCGCCATGAGCCATTTAGTCCGATTTATGGGCAGTGAGCCTCTGGCGCTCGCTCGAGTTTCGTGGTGACTCGTCCTCGTCCTCAGACCATTTGTCACCATCCTCACCTACAGCGAAAATCGTCTCACCATCGAGAGAGTCTCGCTGGCGCGGAGCAGATGGAACAGGTTTAGGAGGTACTGGTGACAGCTCACGGCGTGTTGCGGAGGCGGAATTTCCTTCCGGGCCTCCAAAGGCTTCTTCGTCGTCCAGTCCACTATTGAAAGATCGAATCTCGAATCCGTCATCGTCTTGTGCAAGCTACAGTCGATGTTAGCATGCATTCATCGGGCGCCATGGAAGCTTTGTCCAGAACATACCTCGTCACTCATTGCGAACCGCCTGTTGTTCGCAGTAGGCCGCCAAAGATAGGCAACGAACCCAATATCGAACAAGTACACAAGGTTCAGCCAACCATCTAGCACAAACCACCTGGTCTTCCAATGCTCTGGTACAAAGCTTGCTTCGCTACGACCAGCAAAAGCAAATGAGTTGATGAAAAAGAAGCCGAAGATCACGATGATGCTGCCCAGAATACACCACCAGAGCTTCTTGTACATCATTGCTTTGACCTTCTGCTTTCGGTCGATCAGATCCTTCATGGTTGCGTTCAAGGAGTTCAGTGTCCACACATAGAATGCAGTCAGAGTACCAGCAAGTGGGAGTACGATGAGGAGGACCAGTGGCCCAGCGCTATCGGGTGTAATTGATAGACTTGCGACAGCATAGATGACGCCGAAAACGAAGTGGGTGATGGCCAGGATACGGACATAGATCATGGTCCGGCCCAAAGAGGGCTTGACCACGCCGTATCCCATGCAAACGATGAGCAAAAGGAAAAAGGAGAAAGAATTGCGTCCCGCATTCAGGACAGCGACGATTACCA